ACGTTTGTAAAAAATTGAAGCGAATCTTCCGCACACTGATATGGTCGCTATGGTCGCTATTAGCGGCAAGATGTTTTAGTGGCGCAATCCTATGGTTGCCTCTAGTGACGTTATTAGCTTGCTAACAACGAGATCGATGATATTTGTAATGAGCATGTTTTTATCTATTGTGAATATTTTAGCACGATGCTGCTTAGCTGCCAATATTAAGGGTCTGTGGACTCGTCAAGCTGCAATGCTGTAGCTTTTTTCCACAGCTCCTTCATCTTTGTACAAGGTGAAAAAATAAACTGATTTGATTTGATTTGAAAGTTTGAAATTCTTGCGCTCTGAAACCAACACTACCACCACCGCCAAAATTAAAGTGCTTACATTACTCTTATTTCTGTTCATGAGAAATACTTTGCTGACGTCACACTCAGCAATCGGCCAATCGTGGAAGGTCGACTACAGCAACGCTTTCGATCGCACACGTCGCCAATCGACCTTTCGCTAAATCACCCTAGCGTCGAAGAGAATGCTGGTAACAGTCATCGACACCGGCATGCCCCCTCGCCACCGCCAAGCAGGGATATAAGAAAAGGGCTTCACGGGACCGCTCATCTATTGTCAGTCAGCAGCGGCAGTGGCACCCACTTCTCCGTGCTAACCTGTGCTCACGCCATTACAGTGTCTCGCTGCAAAACGCTGCGTCGGTTCCAGCCAGGAACGGGAGCATCGCCAAGGCCCAAGCGACTGACAGTCATCGACACCGGCATGCCCCCTCGCCACCGCCAAGCAGGGATATAAGAAAAGGGCTTCACGGGACCGCTCATCTATTGGCCGTCAGCAGCGGCAGTGGCACCCACTTCTCCGTGCTAACCTGTGTTCACGCCATTACAGTGTCTCGCTGCAAAACGCTGCTTCGGCTCCAGCCAGGAACGGGAGCATCGCCAAGGCCCAAGCGACTGACAGTCATCGACACCGGCATGCCCCCTCGCCACCGCCAAACAGGGATATAAGAAAAGGGCTTCACGGGACCGCTCATCTATTGGCAGTCAGCAGCGGCAGTGGCACCCACTTCTCCGTGCTAACCTGTGTTCACGCCATTGCAGTGTCTCGCTGCAAAACGCTGCGTCAATAAGCCAGGAACGGGAGCATCGCCAAGGCCCAAGCGACTGACAGTCATCGACACCGGCATGCCCGCTCGCCACCGCCAAGCAGGAATATAAGAAAAGGGCTTCACGGGACCGCTCATCTATTGGCAGCCAGCAGCGGCAGTGGCACCCACTTCTCCGTGCTAACCTGTGCTCACGCCATTACAGTGTCTCGCTGCCAAACACCGCGTCGGTTCCAGCCAGGAACGGGAGCATCGCCAAGGCCCAAGCGATTGAGAGTCATCGACACCGGCATGCCCCCTCGCCACTGATAAGCAGGGATATAAGAAAAGGGCTTCACGGGACCGCTTATCTATTGGCAGTCAGCAGCGGCAGTGGCACCCACTTCTCCGTGCTAACCTGTGTTCACGCCATTACAGTGTCTCGCTGCAAAACGCTGCGTCGGTTCCAGCAAGGAACGGGAGCATCGCCAAGGCCCAAGCGATTGACAGTCATCGACACCGGCATACCCCCTCGCCACCGTCAAGCAGGGATATAAGAAAAGGGCTTCACGGGACCGCTCATCTATTGGCAGTCAGCAGCGGCAGTGGCACCCACTTCTCCGTGCTAACCCGTGCTCACGCCATTACAGTGTCTCGCTGCAAAACGCTGCGTCGGTTCCAGCCAGGAACGGGAGCATCGCCAAGGCCCAAGCGATTGACAGTCATTTTTATTTTTTATTTATTTATTTCCAATACTACTAACCCCATTCGAGGTTGTTGTAGGGTGGTACAGTTTGAGATATTACAAGCAGAAAAATAATATTCAACACACAATTTGCAGGTAAATATTCAAAGCAAATATAGAAGTCGCGAATGAAAAATTAGTAAACAACTTCAATACAATAGATACACTGCACTTTTAAAAACAGCATAAAATATTAGTTTATGATGAAAAGTGGGCATCTACGTAATCGAGGAAGATTTCAATAGAAGAGGAATGAACAACGTTTTGAGGCAGGTGGTTCCTTCGTTAATGGTTCGGGGAAAAAAAGAGAATTTAAAGCAGTTATTATGAGCGACGTCTTCCTCGTAAAGCTTGCCATGGTTGTACCGTGTTAATCGTTTGCTTGTATGGATAAGATAATTTTCTTTTGGTAGGTTGAAATGATCGTTGGCTAATTCGTATAGAAATTTAAGTCTAGCTGTTTTTGCTCTTTTTTCTAAAGAGGAGAGACCCAGTTGCCTGCAAAGCTCAGAGGGAGAGACGTGCCTACTATACTTATTGCAAATAAACCTCGCGGCCATTCTCTGAACTCTTTCTATCTTATTGATGCCGGAGACTGTGTGGGGAAACCAGACGACGTTGGCGTACTCGAGCATAGGACGTATTAAAGTTTTGTAGGCTAGTAATTTAGTGGCAGGAGATGCAAATTTGAAGACTCGTTTAAGGAAACTCAGTTTGTTTACAGCTTTATTAGTCGTGGAGTGAATGTGTGAGTCCCAACGTAAATTGTGACTTATATTGAGGCCGAGGTATTTGTATTCACCGACTTGTTCCAAGAGGTTATTGCCTATCTGGTAAGGAAAGGAGTAGTGTTGTCTTTTATTGGTTATGGTCATAAATACAGTTTTGTAGTTATATCAGCTTGAACTTTAGAAATATCTAGAACACAAAGACAGAAAGGACAGGATATGACACACAGCTGTGTCCTTTCTGTCTTTGTGTTCTAGATATTTCTAAAGTTCAAGCTGATATAACTACAAGTATGTACCAACAAGCTCAACTCTTAACCGTTAATACAGTTTTATTCGAATTTATTTCCATCTGCCAGTCGTGGCACCAATTTATGATGTGTTGAAGCGCATTATTTAGGTTAATCTGATCATTTGGGTTATTTATTTGTGAGTAAAGTATGCAATCATCAGCAAAGAGGCGAATATTTATGTTCACATCTTTGACCAGGTCATTTATGTATATTAGGAACAAAAAAGGTGCCAGTACTGATCCCTGTGGGACTCCCGATGAAACTTTGCCTTTGAATGATGAGTGCGCATTAAGTGCTACGTACTGGTAGCGATCTGAAAGGTAGTCTTCAATCCACCTGAGAATTTTTCCTGCTCCTAGTATAGATTCTAGCTTAGACAATAGCTTTGGGTGAGATACCTTGTCGAAGGCTTTTGACAGATCGATGAATATGGCGTCAACCTGTCCTCTATTGTTTATGACAGTGGAAAAATCGTGAATGCTTTCAACAAGTTGCGTCACTGTTGAAAGGTGACGTCTGAAACCGTGCTGATATGGAGTAAGTATTTGATTATTCTCGATGTGGGTGGAGACATGGTTCAGAACAATGTGTTCGAGCAATTTACAGCAAGTTGAGGTAAGGGAGATGGGCCTGTAGTTCGCAAATTCGTTTTTGTTTCCAGACTTATGAATGGGGATGACTTTCGCTAACTTCCAGTCTTTAGGAAGTTGCCCTTTGTTAAGTGATTGTGTAAATATTATAACAAGATATTTTGTTACCCATTCGGCGTATCTTTTTAGAAATTCATTTGGTATATCGTCCGGCCCAGCACTTTTTTTTTGTGTTCAGGTTGAGTAGAATAGATAAGATACCCTGTTCGGTAATTACAACATCATTTACAGCCAAGACTGGAGAATTGGACGCGAATGAGGGTGCATTACCATTATCTGTTGTAAAGACCGAAAGAAAATAATCATTGAAGGCTTTTGCAAGATTTGCTTTGTCACCGAAGAGCGTTTCTAGACTCGATTTGTTTTTTGGGTTGACATAGTTCCAGAATTTGACGGGTGAAGATTGAATAAACGATTGGAGAATGATATTGGAAAAATTGTATTTAACCGACTTGATTTTTTGTCCAAGATCGCTGTTGAGTAATGCCATTATGTTCTTATTTAGAAGAGTTCTGGTTTTCTTTGCCTTCTTACGAAGCCTATTTATTTTGCGCTTTACATGGATGATTTCTCGCGTTATCCAAGGGTTTTTCTTAATTAGTTTAGTTCGTTGTGGAATAAAACATGAGACACACGTGCTAACTGCCGTTTTGAATTCGTTCCAAAGCATATCTACAGTGTTACGGTCGCTCTTGGACAGTAGAAGAAAGTTATCGAAGTGTGTATCAAAGAAGTCGAGCACGCGAACGTCATCTGCTCTGTCAAAGTTCAGAACCTTACAAGTCTGGGGATTGCCAGAAGTTGGGATGTTCGTTTTGAAGCAGCACAAAACCATCTCATGATCAGATATGCCATTTAAAACTTCTACGCTGTGTTCATCTTTCAGGAATGATCGGTGACAAAGACGAGATCGAGCATTGATTGCGACGTTCCCTGAATACGGGTATTTTCAGTAAATATTTGGGTGAGGTTATAATGAAAACATAGATCTGTAAGGATATCTGCACCGAGAGATGATTTTGTACATTTCGATACAGAGGACCATTCTAAGGAAGGTAGATTGAAGTCACCTGCAATTATAATCTTACTGCCGGCATTAATATTATCATTGATATAACTATACATACTTTTGAAAAACCCTGAAGTGGAAGTGGGAGGTCTATAGAGAACAAGTATATAGCAGCACGTATTTTTATACGCAATTTTACAACACAGGCACTCAATTTCTGGGCAATCGGGTAAGGGGGTACATACAATGCCATTTTTTACAAGAATCGCTACTCCACCACCGCGAGAACCTCTATCCTTGCGCAAAATCGTATAGTTTGGGGGCGTGATTTCACAGTCTAGAATGCTGTCTGATAGCCAAGTTTCTGTCATTGCTATAATATCAGGTTGGGTATTCAAAACAGCAGCTTCAAGTTTATCAGTTTTATTTACGATGCTTCGCGCGTTTAGGTTTAGTAATCGAAATTCATATACACCTTTGACTTGAGTAGGGCTTGGTCACGTACTGGGATTCCGGGTTTCCTCAGATATGGAAACCTTATCGTTTATGGCCTCATTCCAAATGTATACTGTGCCATTTATCTTAATTTTGTGATAGGTAAGCGTGACATTATCACCAGCAAGTTTATTTGATTTCGAGCTATCAAGTAATTTTTTTCTAATGCCTTGAATTCGCTTTGAGTAGTCTTCACTAATCGAGAGTCGTTCATTTTTCAATTTATTGCAGTTGCGTAAAATATTCAATTTATCTTTAAAGTTTACGAGTCGAAATATTACTGGACGGGTTTTGCCATGAGCTGGCCTCCCAAGGCGATGTATACGATCGATTCCATTAATCTTTACATTTAGTTTTCCACCAACCATCTCTTTAGTTACTCTATCCTCGAGGGTGCTACTCTCTTCGTTAGGTAGTTCAGAAAGACCAAAAATAATTAGATTGTTTCTTCTGCTGCGGCTCTCTAAATCATCAATTTTGTTCGAGAGTGATGTGATGGTGGCTTCGAGGCGGTTGGTCTTGTCGCAGTTTTTGTTCACAACGGACCTGAGTTCTTCAAGGCCTTCGAGGCGCGATTCTATTTTCTCTAGTCTCGATGTTGTCGCAGCCTGGCTCAGCTTAATTTCCTTAATGTCGACCGAGATATTAGTTAACATTTCCATCATCGCTGCCCTGTCAGGACCGGGATTGGTCTCTATATCTCCGCACAGCATGAGTAAATCAGCAAATCGTGCACGCATTTCACACAACAAGGTAAAACAGGTCCGTGGGCACGGCAGCAAAAAAAGACAAAGGTTGTTGCTACGGTAACAGAAAGGATAGCGTTTTCCTACCTGTGCAATGAACACGAAGGTGTTAACGACTGTCATCTTGGCGATGCCACCGTGCCCACAGTGGAGTGCAGATCGACACCGGCATACCCCCTCGCCACCGCCAAGCAGGGATATAAAAAAAGGGCTTCACGGGACCGCTCATCTATTGGCAGTCAGCAGCGGCAGTGGCACCCACTTCTCTGTGCTAACCTGTGTTCACGCCATTACAGTGTCTCGCTGCAAAACGCTGCGTCGGTTCCAGCCAGGAACGGGAGCATCACCAAGGCCCAAGCGATTGACAGTCATCGACACCGGCATGCCCCCTCGCCACCGCCAAGCAGGGATATAAGAAAAGGACTTCACGGGACCGCTCATCTATTGGCAGTCAGCAGCGGCAGTGGCACCCACTTCTCCGTGCTAACCTGTGCTCACGCCATTACAGTGTCTCGCTGCAAAACGCTGCGTCGGTTCCAGCCAGGAACGGGAGCATCGCCAAGGCCCAAGCGATTGACAGTCATCGACACCGGCATGCCCCCTCGCCACCGATAAGCAGGGATATAAGAAAAGGGCTTCACGGGACCGCTCATCTATTGGCAGTCAGCAGCGTCAGTGGCACCCACTTCTCCGTGCTAACCTGTGCTCACGCCATTACAGTGTCTCGCTGCAAAACGCTGCGTCGGTTCCAGCCAGGAACGGGAGCATCGCCAAGACCCAAGCGATTGACAGTCATCGACACCGGCATGCCCCCTGGCAACCGCCAAGCAGGGATATAAGAAAAGGGCTTCACGGGACCGCTCATCTATTGGCAGTCAGCAGCGGCAGTGGCACCCACTTCTCCGTGCTAACCTGTGTTCACGCCATTACAGTGTCTCGCTGCAAAACGCTGCGTCGGTTCCAGCCAGCAGGGATGGGCAAAATACATACAAATATGTATCGAAATACAAATACAAAATACTTCGTCAAAAATGTATTCAATTACAAATCTAGTTACATTTACAAAAAAGCATTTAAATACAAGATACGAATACAACAAAATGTAAATTGGTCTCCTCCAAATACTTTTCCAAATACATTCCTCAAAATTTGCGTCAGCTACTTCAGGTTTACCTGCAACGGGTTTCTGGGTATCTCATTTTCATTTTGCATCGCACACTCGGGAGTTAGAGCGCAAGGCTCTAGTAACGTAATAGAAATATAATCACAAAGAAAAATGTAGTCAGCTTGGACGTAATAGGTGAAAAAAGTACAGAGCTTCAAGCAGCTTTTTTTGTCGATTACATTTTGGTACAGACCAACAAAGAACCGAGACGACCAAGACGCGCAGCACTACCAAGAGAATTTTTTTATTGTTGCAACTCGCACCAGTTACGAAAATTTTGGATGACCCGCACATTTAGAATGTTCCAGGCAAAAGTATGGATGGAAATCAGACTGGAAAGCATCACAAGTTGTCACAGGCTCCTATTTAGCCAGTCTACCTGTGAACGTCGATTTCGTCACTATTCTTGCCCTAGAGTAGCACCCTAATCACAAAGTCACTAAACGCTTGTGCTTGATTGAGAGACACTGCATTCGGTGAAGAACGTAGTTTTCTTCCTGCTCTGGACACGTCTTAGGATACGCAAATTGAGTCGTGACAATAAATTTGAGGGATGCATTTTCGCCCACAAAATTGTATTTAATTACAATTGTATTTGAAATACCCACGTTTTAGTATTTAATTACTCACGTCAAATACATTACCCAATTTGTAATTAGATACAAATGCAAAATACACAGAGTATTTGAAATACGTATTTTAAATACTTGTATTTGAAATACTGCCCATCCCTGCCAGCCAGGAACGGGAGCATCGCCAAGGCCCAAGCGATTGACAGTCATCGACACCGGCATGCCCCCTCGCCTCCGCCAGGCAGGGATATAAGAAAAGGGCTTCACGGGACAGCTCATCTATTGGCAGTCAGTAGCGGCAGTGGCACCCACTTCTCCGTGCTAACCTGTGTTCACGCCATTACAGGTTGGTGCTTCCAATTTGACCATTTTTGATCACTCTGCGGTTGTTGCTACTGCCGCTGCTGCCATTAATAGTGCCTTCGAGTGTACTGTTGTTGAATACTATGTCCTCGGATGACGCCGATGAGTGTATATCCTGCCACGCGACACTTCCTGAGGACAGTTCGTTTTTAGCTTGTGTTGAATGCAAGTTCAGTTATCACTTTGGTGATTGTTCTGAAACCAAAACAACTAAGGCAAGGAACGCAGCCGCCAAAAATCCTTGGGTATGCCCAACTTGCAAGATCACTAAAACGAGAGGTGGACAGGCACCGGAAAAATCAAAACAGAGTAAAGAAACTAAAGATCACGAAGAAGGAAACATATGCTGGTGGAAATTAACAAAAAACTTGCTGCACTTATGGAAATGAAAAGCACTGTAGAGAACATTGAAAAAAAAGTACTGGACGTGTCAGACAAGTATGATGGGCTACTTGCTGAGATGCGCAGTCAAAGACAAGAAATAACAGACCTTAAAGAACGCATACAAAAGGTAGAAAACACTGATAATGAAGAAACAAAACAGCGGAAGCGAAAAGTTAATGACCTCGAACAATACAACAGGCTAAAACACCTTGAAATTCATGGCCTACAATATTCGGTGAATGAGAATTTACTGCAGAAGCTGAACGACCTAGCCTTAGAGCTCGACCTACCGCCACTAACTGAACAAGAAGTGGAAGGACTACACAGGTTGCCAACAAAGTCCGAAAGAATACCAGCTGGGCTGATTGGTTTTTCTACGCCAGCAACAAGAGACCGTTGGCTTCAGAAAAGAGGTCAGCTTCAGGGAAACGGGGCGCAATTCTATGAAAATCTGACGGCACAGAACAAAAGGCTACTGTGGCTGGCGAAGACGGAGGCCAAAGAAAAAGGCTATCATTACACATGGCAGAAGAACGGACGGATATATGTGAGAAAGAAGACTGGTGATAGTGCTATCAGGATCAACAGCGAAGACGAACTGACAAGATACGTTGAAGATTGAAAACTTTTTTTTTCTTTTTTTCTTCCTTTTTATTTTCTTACTAATGGAACAGTCATCCACTGATCGCTGTTATTACAACTGTGAAACATTCAATAAACTTATGAGAAATAACGCACTAGATAACAAGCGAAAAATGTCCTTATTTCACCTAAATGCAAGAAGCCTTAGAAATAAAATGACGAAATTGAACTATTTATGAATATGCTGAATCATAACTTTGACATTTTGGCATTTACGGAAACGTGGTTTACTGGGGTTGGCGATGCTGTTAGCTTCAACAATTATACCTGCGAGGGAATTTATTGTGAAAACCGGAAAGGGGGTGGGGTGTCGCTATATTTTTGTGACGGCCTAACATATGAAATTGTTTCAGAGTTCACGTGTGTCAACTATAATTATGAATCGTTAGCTGCCAAATGCCGTAAAATGGTTGTGGTTGCAATATACAGACCACCATGTGGATCATTGCAAGTTTTTCTTGATTTCATTACACATTTAGTAGATTATATTACATCCAATAACTTGAAAAATGTCATAGTAGGCGACTTAAACGTAGATCTGTTGTCTGAAGACCCCTCAAAGGTTGAACATCTTGAAATAATGCACTCTTCCGGTTGTGAAAACTTGATTAATTTGCCTACTAGGATAACATCACATACAGAAACATTAATTGATCTTTGTATTACCAACTGCTAAACTGATGACGCGTATGCGGGTGTATTTTCAGTTGATTTATGTGACCATTTTCCTATATTCTGTTTTATACACTACAACTACTCAGGAAACAAGAGATCAAACCTACGTGAGAGCATAGCATACCGCGACACGAGTAACCAAAATACTAAGAAATTTTACAATCTCGTTTCAAGCGATAACTGGGACGACGTTTTATCCGAACTGGACTCTGATAAGGCATACGACAACTTTGTAGCCAAGATAAGAGGACATTATGACACGGCGTTCCCTCTAGTTCATTACAAGAAGCACTATAAATCAAAGAAACCATGGATTACTACCGAATTATACAAGAGAATAACAAAGAGAAACAAGCTCTTCGATAAGTTCATAAAAACTAAAGATTTTGAAGTCCTAGCCAAGTACAGAAAAGTGCGCAATAAACTAGCTGCAGATCTAAAGAAAGCGAAAAATCAGGTAACACACAAATAAATTTTTATCTGTCCAAGATAGCCCTGAAAAAATATGGAGTATAGCTAAAGACCTATTATCGTCAGTTCCCAAAGTCATTCCAAACGAACTAACAATTGAAGGTAAGACCTATTCGCACGAGTCATTGGCTGAAAAGTTTACTTCCCATTTTTTGACTGCTGGCGCTAGTGCTCCTTCAGTAACTCACAGCGATCTCTATAAAACTTTTATTAATATGAATCAAACGAACTCTATTTTTATGGCACCAACCACTGACATCGAGATCAGAAACATAATTATCACATTAAAAAACAACACCGCGTCAGGCTTTGACGACCTGACTGTAGCTCCCATCAAAGCAATAAACGACCTGATATGTTATCCTTTTGCTCATATATGTAATAGAATCCTTGAAACAGGCATACTTCCTCATAAAATGAAAATAGCTAGGGTGTGTGTCATACATAAAGGAGGTGAGCTAAGTAATCTAAATAACTATCGGCCAATTTCGATACTGCCATTATTTTCAAAAGTCGCTGAAAAAGTGATAAACTGTAGGTTTTCTAAATATATTTTTGACAAAAACATCATAACGCCTTGTCAATATGGATTCCAGAAAGGAAAATCCACAGAATCGGCTTTGTTGAACATAAAGGAAGAAATAATAAGTAATATTGAGTCTCGCCTTTACACAGTCGGTATATTTTTAGATTTTCGCAAAGCGTTTGATTCTATAAAACATGGAATTCTTATAGGAAAATTACCATGGTATGGAGTAAGGGGAATCGCCCTTAACCTTATCAAAAACTATTTATTAGATAGAACTCAATTCACTGTCCTGAATGGTTTTAGATCGCAGATTTCCCGCATACAGTTCGGTGTTCCACAAGGTTCCATCCTTGGACCTTTGTTATTTCTAATATATATAAATGATATTGTTAACGTGCCGCTTACTCCCTATATTATATTGTATGCTGATGATACTAACGTGTTCTTTTCCGGAGATAATCTGTAAGAGCTTGAAAAAACTGCAAATAGCTGGCTTAATGAACTATCTGTATGGTTAGAGTCAAATCAGCTAGAATTAAACACAAAGAAAACAAAATATGTAATACTTAGATCAAAGAACAAACCATTACACTATAAACCACATATCCACTTTCTAAATTCAACAATAGAGTCTACTAGGGCACACAGATTTCTTGGAGTATGGTTTGAGGAGTTTTTAGGTTGGACTAATCGTGTAAATAACTTAAGATGTAACATCTCACGTTCAATTGGATTGCTGCGCAAGCTAAGGGAATTACTACCAAACTGGCTCAAACTAAACCTGTATTGCGCTCTTGTATATTCTCGGTTCCAATATTGTCTTTTAGTGTGGGGCACAGCAACGAAAACGAACACTGAGAAAATATTCCTTTTACAAAAGAAGGCTGTAAGAATTATTGACAATTTAGGCTACAGCGAACATACGGCATCCTCATCCGAAAAATATAAGTTACTACCAATAGAACATGTCCTCTCTCATAAATTGGCAATCGTAATTTTTGATCAGATCAAGCATGATGAGGCACATTTTCTCGATACTTATCTTCATAAACCTGGGGAATACGATCTTAGGAGTACCAATTATACAAAACCAAATGTTAAAACTAACTATGGAACTGAAAAACTAGATTACCAAATTCCTAACCTACTAAATAAACACCCAAGCATTGTGCAAATAGCACAGCAGTGTAGAACAGTCCACCCGTTCAGGAAAAAAGTTAGAGCATATTTCCTTGAAGCTGATCGCCTACCTTAGATTATTTAATGTGGTTTTTATGTGTTCTTATTGCAAATATAGTGCCTTTAATATGTCCTTCTTTCATGGTGTTATGAGGTGTTGTGATGTGTTAATATCAGACGTGCGTTGGATGGTTTTGTTGATAATGACGATGTTAATGTCAATGAATACAGTTTTCTCTGGTTTTTGTTTCATGATTTTTTTTTAGTTTGTTTCTTTTTTTCTTTTTTATTATTAGGACGCATTGCTTATGTTTATAGTGATGATATTGATTGGAATGGTTTACTGATGCCTATGTTTATTTCAATTTTGTTGCTAAATTATTGTATGCTGTCTCTGTTGACTGCTATGGGCAGGGGAGAGGGGGGGGCTAGCCCCCTCGTCAGGAGGCTTTTTTGCCTTCTTTTGCTGCACCCCCCCCCCCCCAGACATACGTATCACACGTGTATGTCTGACATAAACTATTCTATTCTAAAAAAAAATAAAAAAAACTTAGGTACTCGCGCAGCACGCGCTCGCCTTCCTCATACAAAAGGTTCGAAGTAAATAATCAAAATAAAGGCGTTTGTGGAACGTGCGTGCGAAGTGTCATTTGTTTTTTATCTTTGCTTTCGAGCAGCTAAAGCTGCTGACACCAGCACGTGCAGCGCGTGTATCTACTTATCTATCTTCCCTGCATTATTTTTGATGCATGGGTAATGCCGCAAAAGGTCTATTGGCGACGTGAGCGATCGAAAGCGTCACTGTGGTCGGCCTGCCACAATTGACCGAATGCTGAAAATGACGTCAGCAAAGGATTTCTCATCGACGGAAATAAGAGAAATAAAAGGACTTTAATTTCGACGGTGTTGGCAGTGTTGCTTTGAGAGCGCTATGATTTCAGGCTTTCAACATGCCCATTACAAACACCATCGAACTTGCTGTTCAAAAGGTAATGACTACACGAAAGGGAACCGAACGATGGCGCCACCGAAACATCTCGCCGCTAATAGGGGTGGATGCACCGACCAGAAAATCGAATGCAAGCTACTCGTTCATGACGCCGCTCAATGGCGCTCGGGCAAGTGTCCCGGTTCCTTTTTGCACGTGTGGTGAGAAAGCCTCTCCGGTTCCGCAGCTATAAAACAATGCTCTCGAGGTGCAGAAAGCTGGAGTTTCGCCCAAAGACATAATTATGTATTCCTGTTGATCAACTAAAGTTTGAAGATTTAAGTAAATATAAGATGTAAAATTAAAAAAAAAGGTGTACGCAGGGCCGCTTGGAAAGTTGGAGGGAACAGCACCCTTGGTTAGGCAGGACAAATCTCTTGCGAATTGGATGACTTTTTCGCTGATGCCGTAGGTGAAATGCCGCACGATGAACTGTTCTTCATGGTGGAGTACACAAATCGCCGACTGGGGCTGAAGTTTCTTGTCCTCTCGTAGAAGCGCGATCTTCCATTTTCGAAAGTTCGGTATCTTTGCGCACAGCACATAATGACACTCTGGATCCATGTCTCGCGGGCTTGTAGCCTACCTTGCAGAGGGGCGCCGCGAAGCAGGTGGTGTCCTACTTGATCTTCATTTATAAACGAGAGAACATTGTCGATCGTAGCCAAGAAGTGCCAATGAGACCATTCACATTTTCGTGACTAGAAATGAGCTATCTACGCGTACGTGGGAACGAAGGCAGCCCGAGAAAAAGAAGTAGAATACAGGTACACAGAAGCATAGCCTCCTATATACTGACAAAGCCTGCCAGGTCGCCACGAGAAGCGGCCGCCGAAATGGAAGAGGTGTAGCGCCACACAACAGATGAGAGGAGCGCCACGTGACTGGCGCCCCGCTGTGGCGAGACGCCGAAACACACTTCTCCAGAACAAACAAGTATGTTTTGAGTCCTCGCCGCTGCAAAAGTTGTGTGCTGACGTCATGGGTCTTCCGAGAAATTATTCTTTGATGTCCTGTGTTACCAGATCCTCGCGCTCCAAATCTGCCACCGGGCACTCTGAAGACCGGTTCAGACACTTGAGTTTGACTGCGTTGCGTCGAGAACCGAAAGCGAGTCCCCGGCACATCTGTGCTTCGTATGAAGCGTAGAATCCAATTCAAGGAGTCATCTGGGCACGCGATAGAAGCAGAAGGAATGTCCTAATCTCTCGCAGCCGCAACGCAGTCAAGCACAGTCAGACGCAACTGTCTGAACCAGGCTTAAGGCTCCGTCGTCGACCTGCCATTCTTGTGAATATAGAAGAAGCTATAGGGCCGCCCACATTAGCGAGAAAACGAGCGCGGCGCGCCGATCGCGTTGAAAACGCGTTATCTTCGGCGAGCAAAAGCGTCCCTCGCCCGCTCGATTGCCTCGAGAATCCTCGAGATCTTGCGGGAAATCACGCGTTCGCTCGACTGCTTCAAGAGTGCGCGAGGCCTCTTGTGCTGTCACGTGACATTCGCGACGGCAGAACTCTATCTATACTCCGCGACAACTTTTCTTGGGATGCGGGACGCGTCCTCCCGCGATCGGCGGGCCACGCGCGTTTTCTCGCTAGTGTGGGCGGCCCTAATGACATAAGTGACGTTTATTTCGAATCGCGTTCCAGAACGCCTCGCGCGCAGCACGCTGGGGAAGCTGCAATCGCGACACAGTCGGTTCGAGCAGCGATTGCATTGGACGAAAGCGCGTGCATGACAGGTCTTGCACGCATAGCCTTGGCTTAGCCACTAGACAAGCCATGCCGCTTCTGGAAAGAATGCACCGGTACCCAGAGCCCTATATGGGGAGAGTTTGGCCAGTTTATGATCTCGCCGCCGTAACGCTCCCCTCCCGAATGAGCCAATCAGCCCGCGGCGCAGAGTGTGAGGGACGTGCGCATGCGCGTCAACTCCCGGCTGCTCCCAGCTGTGTGGGCAGGGCAGCAATTTTCATTCATTCGCCCTGTGGAACGCATACGATCGACATCCAAATTTCGCTTCTTTCTTTTTAGGGGCGAAGCTCCTTAAGGCTGAACTCCATGGAACGAATTATGTGACGGATAACTGGCGAACGCGGCCCGACAGCACGCTCGCTTTGCGCGTGACGTAGCAGCCACTGTGTTGATTCCACGCGCAGAGCGAAACCCGCCGGGCAAAACCCGCCGGGCAAAACTCGCCGGTTATTCGCAGCATATTCGCCCCATGAAGTTCAGCCTTTAGGGTCTAGCCTTGTCCGTCCGGCATCCGTGCTCACATCGATCTTGATGGTGGTCGTGCTCGTACTCGTGAGCTCACGTGCTCGTGTAAAACAAAAACAAAATGATGAAAAAAACATCGTGTATATACCTCTTTTGAAATACTGCCCTGTGTTGGCAACTAAGGAATTCCCGCACAATGCCGTTGTAATATCGCTACGTCACGCACACGTTATGCGTTTGGGATAGAGTAGAAGAAAAATGAAAGCCGTTTACAACTCCCTGTAACGCCGAATTAGAGCGCAGCTCTTGAGGAGGAGGAGGGAAGGGTACTGGGGGGTGGGTCAAGTGACCTCGGAGGGCGGGGGGGGTCACGTGACCTTGTGGGAGTCACGTGACCTTGGGGCGTCACGTGACGTCAGGGGTTCACGTGACCTGGGGCCACGTGACGATGCCGATGACGTCATCAGTGACGTCACTGATGACGCCATCAGTGATGATGATGACGACGATGCGGATGCCGGTGACGTCATCAGTGACGTCATTGATGACGTCATCAGTGATGACGATGACGATGGGATGCCGGTGACGTCATCAGTGACGTCACTGATTACGTCATCAGTGGCGATGACGTCAACGGGGGGTCACGTGACCTCGGGGGGTATCCCCAGGTCACGTGACCCCGGGGGGGGGGGTCACGTGACCTGGGTAACCATCGTGACCCTCGTGAGGGTAACCCTAGTAACCCTTGTGAGGGCAACTCTCGTGACCCTCGTGAGGGTAACTCTCGTGACCCTCGTGGGGGTAACTCTCATAACCCTCGTGACCCTCGTGAGGGTAACGCTCATGAAGGTAACCCTTTTGAGGGTAACTAACCCTCGTAACCCTCGCGAGGGTTACGAGGGTAAGTAACCCTCGTGAGAGTAACCCTCGTGAAGGTAACCCTTTTGAGGGTAACTAACCCTCGTAACCCTCGTGAGGGTTACGAGGGTTACGAGGGCTAATCTCATGAGGGTTACCCTCACGAGGATCACGAGGGCCACGAGGGTTACTTACCCTCGTAACCCTCACGAGGGTTACGAGGGTTGCGGTTACGCCGACGCCGACGGCGACGGCGACGCCGCTCAAGCCGGGAACGGGCGCCTAAGAGCTGCGCTCTAAAAATAATGTTTGCGCAGTCGACAGGATTCGAACCTGTGTTTCAAGTCCATCACCTTAACCACTCGGCCATGACTGCGGGACGAGTAGGGGGCTCTGAGATATGGTAGTGACTCAAGAGCTGGGGTTGTCATGAATGAAACGTTGCATGTAGCCGCTCAACGTCTATACAGGAGAGGGCGCTGCGGTCAAATGCGTATATAATCGCGTCAAACTTTGCACGCATTGGATCAACGTTTATAGAGGAGAGGGCGCTGCGGTCAAATGCTCAAATGCGTATATAACCACGTTCCATACCACAGATTCTCTTTCTAACATGGATGAAAACGAACGAAAGGCTCGGCATGCTGCGGCTCAGCGTCTATGCAGAAAAAGCACGACCAGAGTACAGTGTTACCAGAGCTTCGCCCCAATCAACTTCATTCACCACGTGGAGATGCGGTCAATTTTCCTTTTGCTGGCTCTGGCAAGAAAATTGTGTAGTGTTATTCCTCAGTGGGTTAAAAAACTAACGAATGAAGTTTTTTCAACGCTTGACCTCAAACGTTTATTCGGGCGAAAAAGAAGGCGGCCCGTAGCAGACGAAGCGTATGTAGCCTCAACAGTGCTCGGCGCCGAAAGCGTGTTGCGTCAAAATGGCGGTCGTTTCCTCTTTGCTCGCTCCTTCCTCTCTCGCTCCTTCGGCGCTCTCCCCCCTTTCCTTCACCCTTCTCCTCTCCAGCGCCTTGGTCCCTTCACCTACAGACTCTCCCAATATACGGCTCTGTCGGCAGCTAAAGCCCAGATACAGGCACTTTACCGGCAGCCTGGCCTCAGCGCCACTTTTGTCATCCTGAAGCGGTGGCGCGTGGAATGCAGAGCGCTCGGTACACCGAAAGTTCCTGGATAAGAGCTTCCAACAAGTAGCTGCATTGTCACGTGGCTGCGTGACGATGCAGGTTTGGGAAGCGAATGGCGGCAGACAGCAGATGACTGAACTGAATGACGCCATTTTGTTCCAGCGGATTGTGCTTTGTCATTTGTGTGTGTTGTCGTTACTTGTAAGAAGTATTAAGGCACTTTAGGTACACTATAGCCACCATAACAATGGCTCCGTGGCAAGGCGACATCGTTCAGACGCCTCTCCCCTCTACCACCGTGGCCATGGCTCCTAGGAAGCAGACGGCAGCAGAACGCATGCGAACTTATCGGGAACATAAGAAACGGCAGAAGCAGCAGAAAGAGGCTTCGCTGGGGGCTCCGCCTGCGAACGCCGATAAGTGTAAGGCCTATCTTACATTCTCTGTGCTTATCGGTCTTTGTCAGCATAATCAAGCTTGTATAATTTTGTTTAGGAAATGCGACATTAGTAAGGATAAGCATCATACCGGTGTGCGGTCGTGAATTCTCCTCGCTTCAAGTTAGCAGTTGTACTACCCTGGCTAGCATAGGCAGACCGTCCTTTCACGGTTTCGTTTTTCAACATAAGTAGAAGGTGAATATTTGCAAAGTAGTATGAACCGCATGTGTGCCTGCGTAAGTGCGTGCGTTTTGGGGGAGATTTGTTTTTACGCAGACTGTTATGGATATAATTTCGTTTTTTGCTAATGTGTTAACTAATTTTGGTTGCATCCGCTTTGTACTAATAGATCACGAAGCATACTCTAACGTGACATCTAACTTCTATCAAAAAGCCGACAATATTTCATAATTAAAAAAGTCCAGCTTTGTAAGGAAAACAATCGATAACCACCTTTTTCAATTTGTTGCTTCAACCTTCTTGATTTCACATAATCAGAAAGGAGACTCTTGCTTCGATCGAATTCTGCATTTTTAAGTTTATACTGTATTTATTAAAAAAAGAATTGCGAAGAAAATACAAAGTTATCAACGCCAAATAACGTTTCTACTTGAAATATAGAGCGTGCTGGTAAGGATAATATAAATGATGGGAAGAACATCAAACACGAGGACGGACAAAACAGGAAATTGTTTGGTCCGTTCTTTTTTTTTTTTTATTTTCTTCCCCACCATTTATATTAACGTTTGTAGCTTATGGCCTTATTATATGTTCACTGATATCTTGAGTGGCGGAACAAGCAAACACAGACTATAATCTTTTCGATAAAAGAGATTACGCCCCTAATCATTCATCATACCTAAGGTTTGAAAACTGATGAAAAAAAGAAAGAGCAAGACGGGTGTAGGTTA